AGGTTGCGGTGAGCCGAGATTGTGCCATTGCACTCCAGCCTCAGTAACAAGAGCGAAACCCCATCTCAAAAAAAAAAAAAAGAAAAAACCTGGAGGCCCTCTGCAAGGTAGGAAAACTGAGGCTTAGAGAAATTAGCCCGTCCAGAGTCATGGGGCTAAAAGAGCAGTGATGTTGGTGCCCGGCTCCACTGTTTTAGATTCCAAAGCCTGGCTCTTAATAATCTTTGATGACTTCCACATGATATCTGTACCATCATATTCATTTATCGTGGCTGCTGTGCTCACTCCCACAAACTAGGTAGCTTAAAACACCAGAGATTTATTCTGTAACAGTTCTGAAGGCCAGAAGCCCAAAATCTAGGCATCAGCGGGGCTATGTGCCTCCAGAGGCTCTGGGAAGGATTCTGCTCCTTGCCTCTTCCAGCTTCTGATGGCTGCTGATGTTTCTTGGCTTACAGCTATACCACTCTAATCTCTGCCTCTGTGGTCACATTACCCTCTCTTTCTGTGTCAAATCTGCCTCTGGTCCATCTTATAGATATGTGTGATTGCACTAAGGGTCCACCCAGCTAACCCAGAATAACCTCCCTGTCTCCAGATCCTGTTTTTGTTGTTGTTTTGTCTTGTTTTGAGACAGGGTTTCACTTAGTTGCCCAGGCTGGAGTGCAGTGGCATGATCTGGGCTCAAGCCTTTCTCCCACCTCAGCTTCCCAAGTAGCTGGGACTGCAGGTACACGCCACCATACCTGGATAATTTTTGTATTTTTTAATAGAGACAGGGTTTCATAATGCTGCCTAGGCTGATCTTGAACTACAGGGCTGAAGCAGTCTGCCTGCCTCAGCCTCCCAAAGTGCTGAGATTACAGGCTTGAGCACCTCGCCCAGCCTCCAGATTTTTAATCACATCTGCAAAGACCTTTTTTCTAATGAGGTAACATTTACAGCAGGTGTCCCCCACCCCCAGAGCACAGACCATTACCAGCCCATGGCCTGTTAGGAAGCACAGCAGGAGGTGAGCGGTGGGTGAGTGGGCATTACCGCCTGAGCTCCACCTCCTGTCAGATCAGTGGCATTAGATTCTCATAGCAGCAGGAACCCTACTGTGAACGGTGCATGCGAGGGATCTAGGTTGCATGCTCCTTATGGGAATCTGAAGCCTGATGATCTAAGCTGGAACAGTTTCATCCTGAGACCCTCTTCCCCCCACTCATCCAATACTAGTTCCCTGGTGTCAAAAAAGGTTGGGGACAACTGATGTACAGGGACTGGGATATAGATACCATTTAAGGGGGCATTTTTTCAGCTTACCACACCATATTTGTCCATTCCTTAATTTATTCCTACACAGACTCTAATTGTGTATGGGCGTGAGGAGCTACAGAAATCAAGAGAGAAATGGACACTGTCCCTGCTCCCAAAGACCTCATGATCACTCCTGTGACCTTTCATACAATTTCCCAGATACTCCGGTGATAGACAACAGGGGTAAGAGATGGTAAGGATAGCCACAAGGACAATAGCTGTCACTAACCAGCAGCACTGTTCTGACACTTGCCTGTGTGTATTAACCGACTCTCACCACAGCCTTATCCCCACCTGTAAGTGGGCTGCACAGTCTGTACTTTTCACCTCTCTGCAGGAGCACAGGGGAGAAGTGATCAAGGGGGCAAGGAAGGGGGTGGTCATGGAAGGTTTCCTGTAGGAAGTTCCACTTACAACACAAGAACAGGAATTAGAGAACGTGGAATTGGGTGGGGATAGGATTGAGGCCTCCCACCTCCTAAGCAGAGGGAGGCAAGACGGAGCTTGGATGCTCCCAGACTAGGGTTAAGGAGAGGCAGGAGAGCGTGAAGACACTGCAGGATGCCAGCTCAGGAAATGGCAGCCATTGAGGGTTCAGCAGAGGAGTGATCTGATCAAACTTGTTTTTCTCCTAGAGAAGGAGCTAGAATCCCAACTGTCCCTTCCATATAATATTTCCCAGCATATTTCCAGCCTGCCAAGGAAATCTCCCGGAGAAGCAGAGGACAGAATGGAGACTCCCTGCCTTCCTGCTCTATCCATGGGGACCTCTTGCTTTCCTGGAGCAACCCCCTCCACCCTGAGATTCCCAGGCCTGCAGCCACTCCTGACAGGAGTATTCTCTTGCTGCTTCTGCTCGGGGCTGAACTTTGAGCTCCTGGATCAAGGTGTTGGGACCCCTAGTGGTCCCAGGTCCACTTCCAAGGACCCAAGGACTCCGTAAATTGCACCATCTCTGAGGGACTTTTGGGTAGGCACTCAGCGGGCCCTCTGCGCTCCTAGAGCCTGGGACCTCAGTGTAGATCGCACTGGGCAATGACTGCCCCTATCAAGTTCAGCAAGTGGCTGCTCCCCTTTCACTGTCTCCCCAGCATTCCCGACACAACATAGGTGCTCAATAAAAATGTGACAACCCCAGAAAGAATGCCTGTGATGTGCCTTGCTGGCCCCAGCAGCACAGCGGTGAGCAAGAGACCCAGTGTCACGCCCACACCTGGTTGGGGAGGCAGGCATCCTTCAAACCATTGCCCAAAAACTGCAGAGAGACCTGGGCAAGGAGAGTGGGGGCAGGAAAGGCTCTCCTGAGGGATTTTGAATTTGGCCTGATCCTGTCTTTGACAAGAACTGTCTAATCTGGTTGCAGGATTCTGACTTGGTTCACTTGGGATTTGTTCATGCTCAGGTCTGAGGTTCCCGCCCTGCAGGCTGAAGTGAGTCTCACAGCTCCCCAGTCCCCAGTTAGAGGACCTTCAATGCCGGGCGGAGCGCTGACAGCCATTTCTGCAGCCCCCACTAGGGGGCAGTCCCAACTCCTACCCATCTCCTTTCTGTGCTGAGCCCCTTGGGCGAGAGAAAGCGGCACGAGCTGATTTGGACGAACTAATATCGGGGTCCCAGGGGCAGGCAGCAGTCCCCAGCTTCCACTCCCTGCCTCCTTGCCAGGGGGGCTTGCTGGATCTCCAGCAGCCAGTCTCTCCCTGCCAGCCGCCCGTTCTTATTCTCCACTTCCACCTCCACTTTGCAGGGCAGGTGGGGGAAAGCAGCATTGCTTAGATTCGCCCTCCACTTCAGTCGCCCTAAAAGGAAGGTGCTATAATCCCCACTGTACAGGCGAGGAAACCGGCTAAAATATGTTAGTATCCTGCGGAGGGGCGTCCAGCCAGCAAGACGCTCCCACTCTCAGCAGAATACCCCCACTCCACTCCCACGGCCTCCCCTTTCCCGCTTTTCTACATTTCTGACTCCTCAATGCTCAGAACCACAGGTCTCTCTTCCCAAGAGTTGCTGCCTTACGTGGCTCTCAGAGGACCTGAAGTGTCAAAGGAGAGAGTAGCTAAAAGCCAGATTCATCCTGGGAGCCAGGGCTGGAAACGAAGAAGGCCCCGCCCACCATCAGAAGCCAAATGGCAGTCCCTGCGCAGGATATATTCGGGGTTGAGCAGGAAGACCACAGAGGTACAAACCCAATCCACCCCGGACTCCCTGTCTGCGCGGCTACATTGCTCCTGGCTCCTGCACATTCTGGGCGGGTTCATCCCCTCTGGGTGGGGCTTCCTCTGGGCCCACTCTTGGCTGGAGATCAGGGACTTGAAGGTAATTAAGACATATCTTGCCCTGGAGGACTTCCCAGCATCATAGGGGAGATGGGCACCCCAGTAGAGAATTAAGAACTAACTGGGCATCTGGAAGAAGGGCCTAGAACTCAGACTAGGAGACAAGATGGAGTGCCATCAGGGAAGGCTTCCCGGAGGAGGAAACCTCTGTGCTGAGCAAGACAGCATAAGTGGGAGTAGGCTCAGCCAAGGTCTCTTTTTGGGTTGGGGGGCCAATCGTTGCCACAAAGACCTGATGTGCTGAGCAAGGAAGTGGAGAGGAGAGGAGGGCCCAGCCTGGTCCTGTAGGGCCCCGAAGCTGGGCGGGGAAGTCAGCACAAGCTGGGGTGGAGGCTCCGCTGAGCACTAAGCGGGGAGGCCAAGGTCCTGGCCTGGAGCCTGCTACCAGCAGGACAGAGAATCTGTCCTGGACTCTAAGCTTGGGGCAGGTCGGGCTGCCAGGGAGGTGTGAGGGTGGGAACCCCGGGAAAGCGAGGAAGCCTCCTCCGGGCGTGGGGCAGCCCTGGGTCCTGCAGCAGGCAGGCCTCTGGAAGGGCCTCGCTTTTCCTCCCTCCGGCCTCCCTGGTTTTCTCCTCACTCCATGTTGCAGGGTCTCTGTCCAGGCTGGGGTTCAGTTCCCTGCTCCTCCGCTCCGTGCCCTTCCCCGCCTGATGGCCCCACTAGGGCTGGGGTGGAGTAGAGCTCCGAGGTGAAGACTGGAGTCCAAAGCCCCCAGACCTGGGCGCGAATCCCGGCCTTGCGTCTCGCGAGCTGTGTGGCCTAGAGTGAGGAGTCCGACCTCTCTGGGCCTCGGCTTCTTCCTAAATGAATGCAGTCACGGAACGAGCCAACGCAGGAGGCACCCGGGGCATCCTGAACGCACGGGAAACGAGAGCTCGGGCAGAGGGGAGGGCGCGACCCCGCGGAATCCTCCGGCAGGGCGGGACCTTCAGGCGGCTCCTGGGGTCCACGGGAAGGAGCGGGCTTGGGGACGCGGAGAGAAACTGAGGCCACGGAGGAGACAGCCGTTGACAGCGCGCTGCGCCTGCCGACCCCGCGTGGGCGGCCCCACTCGAAAGGACCCGGGCTCCTTTTGTCTGCAGCGTCCTCGCCGCCGCCGCCGCCACCGCCGCCTCCTTCCCTCCGGCTCTCGCCGCGGCCCCCACCCTCCCCTCCCCCTTCCACCCCTCCCCCTTCCCTCCCCCCTCCCCTCCCTTCCCCTCCGGAGCGGCGGGGGCTGCGGCGTAGCTGCTGACACTGATCGGCCGCCGCCGCCACCGGGCGGAGGCTGCGCGGCGCAGACCCAGGCGGGCGGCCCCGGAGGGAGCGCGGCGATGGCGGCGGCGGGCGGGTGGCGGGCGCGGCGGGCGCGGGGCCCCGGCTGAGCTGCCGGCCGGCCCGGATGGCGGGCGGCGCGGGCTGGGCGGGCGCCCCCGCGGCTCTGCTGCGCTCCGTGCGCCGCCTGCGCGAGGTGTTCGAGGTGTGCGGCCGCGACCCCGACGGCTTCCTGCGCGTGGAGCGCGTCGCGGCGCTGGGACTGCGCTTCGGCCAGGGCGAGGAGGTAAGCGGGCCCCAGCCGGGTCCCGGCCCCGCCGCCCCACCCCCCACACCCCCCCCGGTCACCAGCTTGGCCCGAGGCGGTGGCCTCCCTCCTGCCCGCCCCTCTGCCGGAGCCCAGGACCTCGGTCCCCCTCCCCGGGCATCCCAAATCCAGCCAGGCCCTCGATTTCCCTCGGCGCCCCAGCCCTGGAGCGTCCGCCTCACGCCCAGGGTGGCCTCTGCGCCCACCTTCCCTCCGCGGCTGTGCGGGTCCTTCTGAGCCGTCTGCACATCCCCCCCGTGTCTGGGGAAGAGCGCTGTCCGAACCCGGCCCCAGGCTCCCCACCCCACCCCGCGCTGCGGAGACCGAGATGCAGGGATCTGTGTGCGCCCTGCTGGGCCGGGCCAGGGGGTGAAAGGGACAGGTAGGGGCGCTCCGTAGCCATGGCTCCTCGGCGGCACCCACCCTGTCCAGGCGCGGAAGGAGGTGTCTGCTGGGGCCACCGTGGATTCCCGGCCCCGTGCCGGGTGACCTCTCATTCAGGCTCTGCTGGGCAGCCGGATTCGCAGCTGGCTGTGTTGGCTGCGGCAGGCCAGGCAAAGTCAGGCTCAGGGAGCGGTGGCTGAGCATGGGCTTTCCTGAGGTGAGGCCGCGTCTATCTGGGGAAAGCAGGACTGCTGTAGATTGTTAACAGGGCTGGAAGCAGAGGGCTGGTGCCACCAGCCGGGTGGACGAGTCCTATCACTGAATGCACACTACACCTGTGTCCTCTGGTGCTGCCGGCATGGGGACTGGGGACTGTGTCTTAAGGGGAGGACAGGACACCCACCTGTCTAAAATGGTGAGGGGTTTCCCCTGGACACAGAAGCCCTGAGAAGTTTCCAGGCCACCTAAGGCCTCAGCCCCTGCATGGGGGGGCTGGGGCCACGGGCCTCAAATGGGCATTGGCTGGCATTGTGTTCCCAGGACAGGTCAGGCCAGGCATTTTAGAAGATGGGGGAAGCTGGGTGATGGCCAGATTGGGCCTGTGCCTCCATGTCACCAGACAGTGGGAGGTGATGGAGAATCATCTCTCCACCCACACCTGGGCATGGGCCAGGATCTGTGAGTTGCTGAGAGCAGTGGGCAGAAGAGAGCGAGGCAGCTTTGGGGTTTGAGAACTCAGGTACCCACCCAGGAAGCACCACTCCAGTGCTTGTGAGAACCCAGACTGCCCACTGCAGGTCTCTGCTGAGGGGCACTGCCTGCTGCCAGCATGACCCCTCTCCCTCCCCAAAAGCCAGTCAGGCCCTGTCTTTTTCCCAGTGGCTCCCATCTGGAGTAGGCTAAGTACACTTCTGGCATGTGGATGGCCCTGCTCCTTCCTCTCAGGACACAGGCTGCAGGCCTGGTAAAGAAGCCACCAGCTCTGGCTGAAACCTGGAGCTCTGGAACCACAGAGCCTTAGTGGTGGGAAGGACCTCCCAGCAACCTCTGGCAGGGGCCACTAGCTTCAGCCATGTGCCCAGCAAGCTTCACCCACTTCTCTCCGAGCTGGATAGCTCCAGCTGTGAACCTTCTCTCTCATACACTCTAGAGACAGACCTGCTTGGCACTCAGTCATCACAGTTCTGCAGAGGGACTCACCTGGGTCTCTCTTCTTCCAGGCAGCCTTTAAATATTTGAAAGCAGTACTCCTGCCTTCTCTCCCTCCCAGTTCCTCACTCCCATTTTCCCTTCTCCAAGGCAAATACCCCAGATCCTGAAGTCCTTTGCCATTTCCACATGATCTAGTAGCCAGACCTCTGGCTTCTGGCCCTAAAGCTGCCGTCAGCTAATTCTGTGACTTAGTTTTCCTAGCAATAACATGAAAGGGCTGGAGCAGCAGACCTCCCGCCACCCCCCACAGCGGACTGTTCTAGCCTCAAGTCCTCACACATATGCACGCAGCTCAGGGTGGGGCTGCCTCTGAATGGGGCACTGCACGCTCCACTCATATTAAGTTTCTGGCCACTGAAACCTCCAGGGATCTGTTTTAGAAAACTCTGCCAAGCCAGGGATTCCCCACCCTTGGGGGAGGGTCAGTGATTTCTTTCTTTTAAAAACATACTCTGAGATTACTACAGAGGCGGTGGATATGCCCGGCAGAAAACTGGAAATAGGGACAAGCAAAATACAAAAGTATGTGTCCTATCTGTCAGGCAGTGCCCTGGTGACACATCCGTCAGAGCTTTCCAGAGCTCTTTCCGTGCTTATATGTCAATTTTCTCCAGAAAATGAGATCAACTGTGCATACTGTTTTGTAACCTACTTTTATTCCTGGTAAATGATCATCACTTTTCTGCTTCAATAAATTTTCATCTCGTTTAATATGCAGACCTTTTTCAGATTTCCCTATTTGACCCAAAAATGTCCATTTTTTGCCGTTTCCTCCCCAGGACTCTGCAGTGTATGTGGTTGTTGTCACCTTTTGTTCTCTCTTACTGTACTGTAATTCCTTTTTCTTTTGATAATCCTGGCTTGTGGAAGCAATCGGCCTGTTGTCTGTGTCAATAATTTCTTGAATCTAAGCCTGTTACTTGACCCTTAATCCCATTTAATTTCATCTTGTTCATTTCATCACATTGTATCAGTCAAGAGAAAGAATCTAACATCCTGCCTCTGTCACTCTCAGCTGTGCTGGTGCCTGTGGGCTGGAGAAGCTGTGTGTTTCGTGTGTCTGAATCCACAAGGCTGGTTAAACATGCAGGGCAGGACCATGGACAGGGCCCCGAGGCACTTGTTGGGGTGGTTTTCTGCTCACACAATATTGACCGAGACCCGTGGAAATAGATTTGGCATCTCTGCTCACCACCCATCACATCCATAGATGCATTACAAAATTGGAGTGCTATTTTTCCGGCTGGGGGGAGGACTCCCTTACAAAAAGTGTACTCTGACAGTTTCTATTTCATTTGTTTAAAAATCAGGCAGCGACCCTGATTTCCCAGCTGCTTGGTGCTCTGGGGTGGGTAATGATCATTTATTAGATCTGGGGTTCAGTGAACCTAGAGCTGATTGTCCACAGTTTACCACCTACCCCCAGAATACCAGGGATACCAGGATCAAATGCTTTGCAGAAACCAAAATATACTAGATCGAGGTCATAAAGTATGAAATAAATATCCATGAGGCCATAATGAAATATACATATATATAAATTATTGAGCAATGAATAATTAATAAGTGAGTAATAGGAAAATCTCTCATATATAAGAAATCCAAATAACATGTTGATAATCACCCCATTGATGAAGTGAAGCATAACTTCCCCCCTATAAGCATGAGATGTTCGTAGTGGTTTCCTTATAAAGGGTAGAGTTTGGAAAATGGGGGGAAGGGCAACTGTACAGTGACAAACCCAACAAACACTGTCTCAGAAAGTGATCAAGGCCAACATCAGTAGTGAGAAATTACGGTGATGGCATATACCCTTGGTGTGATGTGCTGAGAATAGACCTTTTCCTCTGTGGTCTTCCTCCCAAAACAGTAATCTCAGTCTAGTCATGAGAAGAACACCAGAATAATCCCAACTGAGAGGCATTCTGCAAAATACCTGATTAGTACCTCAGAATTGTCCAGGTCATCCCAAACAAGGAAATGCTGAGACACTATCACAGCCAAGTGGAGACTAAGGAAGTGGGACGACTAAATATAGTATCACTGATGGGATCCTAGAACCAGGAAGAGGACATTAGGTAAAAACAGGAAGTATGGACCAAGTGTGAACTTTAATTAATAATGTTATTTATGGATTAGTTAGTCCCTGATATTTCCCTGCTGTGTTGACCTAGGCATCACAGCAGAAAACAGGAGACAATGGACCAGGTGCAGTGGCTCATGCCTGTAATCCTAACACTTTGGGAGGCTGAGGTGGGAGGATCGCTGGAGCTCAGGAAGTTTGAGACCAGCCTGAGCAACATGGGGAGACCCCATATCTACAAAAAATAGAAAAATTAGGCCAGGCGTGGTGGCTCATGCCTGTAATCCCAGCACTTTGGGAGGCTGAGGCGGATTTCAAGGTCAGGAGATGGAGACCATCCTGGCCAACATGGTGAAACCCATCTCTACTAAAAATACAAAAAAAATTAGCTGGGTGTGGTGGCCTACCCTTGTAGTCTCAGCTACTTGGGAGGCTGAGGCAGGAGCATGGCTTGAACCCGGGAGGCAGAGGTGTTAAGCTGAGATTGCGTCACTGCACTCCAGCCTGGTGACAGAGTGAGACAACAAAAAATCTGCATTTCTTTCTTTTTCCTTTTTTTTTTTTTTTTTTGTGGCAACAACAACAAAAAAGAAAGAAATGCAGGTTTTTGAGGGATGGAGGCGCACAACTGCCCTGACCTGAAAGTCGACAATGCCAGGGGAGCAGGACTCTGACAAGGACGTAATATGATGGCTCAATGCCCTGACCCCATGCTGCCTTCTGATGTTTTGCATTGTCTCTCTGACCTCTTTAGGCCTCTATTTACTCATCCACCAAATGGGGCTGATCAGAGTCCCCATTCCATAGGGTTATTGTGGGGTTTGGCTGAGTTAATACATACAAAGGGCTCAGCCCAGTATCTGCACAGAGTGGGCATAACATCAGAATTGCTGATGCTCTCATTGTGATTATTATTATTTTCTAAACACTTGCAAGCATCTTTGAGAGGCTGTTCTGGCTGGGGATTTGCTAGGGATTGAGGTCAAGATCTGGCACCGGCCTCTGTGTTCTCAACCCACCCTCCCGAACCAGCTGTGGTGTTCCTGCCCCTCTTGCTTCCTCTCAACAGTCAGAGAATGGCAGACGTTGAAAGCAGCCAGAGATGTCCGGGATCACACTTCCCTGCAGCACGGTCCTCTTCCTTTTCCGGTTTGAGGGCCATCCTTCTTGCTAGAGAAATGGAAATAAGAATAATCAAGTAGGCCTCTGCCATGCATGAACACAGCACCATCTTCTTGGGGCAGTGGGCCTGTCCTGCCCTGTTGGAGATGAAATCACGGGCCCCATTGGGCTCCCTGGG